TACTGGCAGACCACTTCATTAACATCATCAGGCAGACTGCAAATGTGAAGCCAAGCAGACATGGTCGTTCCAACGTCCCCATTCGACAACACACTGGAGGAGAGTGTCCGCCCACTACTGTCTCGAGTGTTCCAGAGCGACGTCAGGTGATCTCCAGCGCTCTTGATGTATCTGCCATCGAACCCTGCCCCATCCAATCACCAAACATGATGTCAACTCCCTGTAATCCATCTGCCCTTATACCCTCAGTTTGCCCAACGCCTAACCTTTCTCATGTTGAGCCCAATGTTTATTCCAATGAAGACTTCCCACCATTACCAGCAATTGTAAAATCTCCGTTAGAAAATGTTTTTTTTAGAAAGGGAACTCGACTCAGACTTGAACCTAACAAATTAACGTCAACTGATTTTTCTATTTGCCATCTCAACATAAGGAGTGCACGACACAAAATAGATGAGCTTTGCTCCTCCTGGAGCCAGCCTCCAGACATACTGTGTCTCTCGGAACACTGGCTGCATGAGGACGAGCCTCTTATTGTTCCTAATTTTACTTGAGTCTCGAAATTTTGTCGAGGTTCAGGTTTGGGTGGTGGTGTTTGTATCTACTATAACAACCATAGTTCGATTAGTGTCAAATTATAGAAATAACATGGTTCAGAAGCTATGTAAAGCCAATCCTTCGAATTTTGCGTTGTAAATATTAAAATTGTAAAAAGTATCGTTATTAATGAAGACTTGATTTTTTTTATTGTTTGTTTGTACAGGCCTCCACACAATGATGAACAAGAATGCATTAACTCATTTGAAAAGTTAATTCATCATTTATTGAAAAACAACATGTCAATTGTACTGTGTGGAGATTGGAATATTAATTTTCATAATTCTGTTAATCCAAGTGTTGAGAACCTAAGAAATATATTTTTATCTTTCAATTTACGTGAATTAGTTAGTCATGCCACTAGAATCACTGACACCAGTGAAACCCTCCTTGAAAATGTTGTTACCAATTTTAACACTCAAATAGTTTCATGTCGTTCATTTTTAAACACATTATCAGATCATGATTCTCAGCTAGTAACAATAAGAACCTATTGCATACCAACAGAATTATTTGTTAAGAAACGATCATTCTGTAAACATAATATTTCTAAGTTTAAGGACAGTTTGTCTCAGGTAGACTGGAGTAGCTTGCACCAGGTAAATGAAGTGAACAGTAAATCCGAATCTTTTTATGGTATTGTCCAAACATGTTTTAATAGATCATTTCCTTTAAAGAAAATTGAGAAAAAATGGGGAGAAACAAAAAACATTGAGGAAGGAGTTGAAAGATTTTGCCAATAAAAATGTCGATTTGGGTATTCTCGTCCGAAATACAAAGGACCCAGCCTTGAAAGCACTTTGAAAGATAGAGAAAAAAAACTGTTCAGGAAACTTTTGATTCAGAAAAAACGTATATATATCTCATTTGAATTAGGGAAAGCTGACTGCCTGCAAAAGGCCCTTTGGCATATTGTTCGTAAAGAGACCTGTGAGTTGAAACCTTCTTCTTTACCCATCTTAAAATCCCAGGATTCATTAGTCCAGTCACCTTCTGAAATGGTAAATCTTTTTCGAAACATTTCTCAGGTTCTTTCGTTGGATCTGCATTTGGTGAATCGTCTACTGCAGCAATCTTGTCCAGCGGACCCTTGCAATGCATTCTTTGTTTTTGTCTCGAGTTACTTACAGAGAGAAAGAGCAATCAATTCAATCGCTTAAATCAAAAACGTCTACAGGCTCTGACGAAATATCTAGCTCTCTTTTAAAGCAAGTGTACTCTTCCATTTTAGACCTCCAGCTCATCTGTTCAATGCTTCCATGTCATCAGGTATTTTTCCCGATATTTACAAGACAGCTATAACTGTCCCGATCTTCAAGAAAGGTGACAAATGCGATATTAACAACTATAGGCCGGTTGCTCTTCTTTGCACTTTATCAAAGGTATTGGAGAAGGTTTTGTATTCCAGGTTAATTAATCATCTAGATATGAATAACATTCTCATTCAAAACCAATATGGCTTCAGAGCGGGTCGCTCAACCACTCAAGCAGTTTTGGAGTTTGTTCAGGATCTATTATCCAACCTTGAACAGCGTAAACCAGCCCTGAGTGTATTCTGTGATCTTACGAAAGCTTTCGATACAGTTAATCACGATATTCTTTGTGAGAAACTGGAAAAATATGGTGTTCGAGGAGTTCCCCTGGCTTGGTTTCTATCGTATCTTTCAAATAGAAAGCCATTTATTGAGATTTCAGGAATTCGGTCGGATCTTGCTGAATGCAAGTTCGGGGTTCCTCAGGGTAGTATTCTCGGACCATTGCTTTTTATTGTGTATATTAATGATCTATCAGCACATCTTCATTCAGCTAAATCAATATTCTATACGGATGACACAACGTTACTGTTTGGAGTTCAATGTGTCAATTTTTAAACCCGAGTTGAAGAGTCAGTTTTACTTTATACTTTAATTTTACTTTCTTATGAAATGGCGACCATACTATGTAGGTATTTTAAGCCAAGTATGAATGGAGATGAGTGTAGGATGAGTGGCGCGATCTTGTAGTCTTGTTAGTGACTAAGGCCGACATTCCTTAGACACAGCTGTTAATTAATAGCCCAAACAGCTAATGGCAACTAAGGGACCTACAGTTTATAGTGGAATCCGAACCACATTTTTTCCTTGGTATATACGAATTGGTCTAATTATCAGGATAGTACTGCGGATAGTAGTAGTACTCACTAGTGCGGACGTTAATCCACACCAGGGAGTATCCCATCCACAGTGCATGCCTATAAATATCCACAATCCGTGACCTCCAAGTAGCTGGATTACAGGACGACGCCACCCGTCCCAGTCATTAAGTTAGTTCGCTTATAAATTTGTTATCACTGAACAATCTTAGACTGAACTCTGATAAGTCTGTTTTCATGCAATTCCTAACTCTAAATAAGATCCCTGAATCTGTCTCGTTGAATAAGTTCGAGATAGAAGAAGGCTCTGTTGTGAAATTTTTAGGTATAACTGTGGATAAAATGTTGTCATGGTCCAATCATGTATTACAGCTTTGTGGCATGTTGAACCGCATCTGCCATGCACTTAGGACGCTGCAACCTCTTCTTAACTTTGAAATGTTAGTTGCAGTCTACTATGGTTGTTTTTCCTCAGTCATGACTTATGGTATTAAAGTCTGGGGTGGTTCTTTCCATGCTGATAAGGTATTTGCCGTCCAAAAAGGGCAGTGCGTATCCTCAATTGCTTACCACCACTCTATTCATGCAGAGGAGTCTTCCGGGAGAACAACATTTTAACTTTGCCTTCTATATTCATCTACAGAGCAATAATTTCTGCAGTAAATCATCTGAAGGATATTTTATTGGTTGGTCAATGTCATAGATACCCCACTAGGCATGGAGGAGATCTTCGTACTCCATGTCATCGTCTGACCCTCTCTGAAAGGAATGCAAATTTTCGGGGCCATTCTTCTATAATAAGCCTCCTGAAGAAGTAAAGCAGTGCAGATCAAGGTTGGGTTCTAATGGTTTTGGGAAACAGCTGAAAACGTATTTGGTGGAAGGCGAGTTTTATAGTATCGAAGAATTCCTGTCTGCCTAATCTCATTAAGCATAGCATTATTATTTATTTGAATAAATCTTTTTTAGAATAAAATAGACTTAACTTATTATTTTTTGTTTTGTTTAAAAGCTACTACACTACTCCATATTATGTATTTCACGATTGAGATGTGCATTGTATCATTTGTACCTGATTCATGAATAAAATATGTCTATGTCTATGTCTATTAAGACTTCTGATAAAAACTGAAAAACCAAGCAAACTAACATACATAGAAACAGAGAGTGATGAATAGGAACTTTTTGACATTTTTTGGAGATAAAATCCGTAAACAATGAAAAAAACAGGCATCGTGGGAATAATTATGACTACCTATCTTAAAGAAGTGGCAGTGGAATCAGGGATGAATCAAGAAATTTAAGACTGGACTGCTGGCAATATATGCGAAATCAGAGTTACTGCAAAAAGTTAGTCTATATTTCTTATTAGCTAATGTATGCCTGAGCCAAACGCAAACCGGAACTACCCCAATAAGTGACAGTGTTACCTCAGTAATAAGTAACAGTGCATGCCTAACCAGTCCTACAAAATACCCATCTGGATCTGAAATATCATCTACAGTCAATGGTGAAATTAGTACAAGCGGTCTAATGTAACTAAACCTATTCTACAGAACGTTTGTAGTAATACACTATTATTTCATGTAATTTGTTTACTTCTGCCTATCTTTATTCGTGAAAAGGTTTTTTTTAGAACTACAGGTTTAACATCTAAATAACCGTCTGCAGGAAAGTCTGGTAAGGAAAGTGAAGATGCTCCACGCTCCTTTTGGGGCTTAGGAGTTCCGTTGGGACTCACAAGTCTAAAACTTTTAATTATAATATTTAATTGTTAAAATTACTTTTTGGTTATAGAAATGTCTTGGTTATGCCATAAAAATGATTTTCTAGCAAATCTTCTTTTTGAATTTTATTTTTATTTTTTGGACACCAAAGGGGTTTTTGGTCAACATTTCTAAAGGTCCCATTTCATCCATACATTGTACACAAATAAAAGAGATCTTTGGAGGGTTGCACATGGTTTGGATCTAGGCCTTGTTGCTAGCAATTTATTTTGTTTGTCGTGGTAAACGTTAAATAAATTAAAGCTTTATCTAAAGTAACGCATTATTAACTTTAACCTGGAGTTACATAACCAATCCATATAGTTCTGGCGTTTATTCTCTGACATTTTCTTTACTTTTTCAAAACATTAATTTGGCCAAGCATTAACACTGTTATAAGGGATCTCAACTGTAACTACTAATGCGTCATTTTCGGTGGAAAACTTCACCGAATATCTTTGTATAAACTATTTTTTTTTAACAATATGTTTTCATATGCTTTTCAGGGAATGGCATAAAAATCAAACCATATTCTACACCCAAGAGCACCCAAAAAACAAATGTAAACATTCGAACATATCTAGCAAAGACGGAAGGATTGATAGCTATTTTAGAATGCTACGAAAACACCAGTAAAAGAAAATATTATTCTAAAGAAATCTTATTGAAAACAAAATATAAAGAATTATTTTATGTTGAAACAAATAATGAATTCGAATGTGATCTTGAAAGGTTACATGTGTCTACTTCGGAAACACTCTCTTACTTGTCCTTTGCGATTCAGTCTGGAACGAGGTGGTGTCGCTACGACGCGTGCATCACTTGCTCGACTAAAAACTTCAGACTGAACATCGACGAAGACAAACCAAGCGAGAAAACAAAATGGTCAGAGGTAAGTAAACTAAAGCGATGCGACAATTTCTTGAGTAGACAGTTCGAGATTTACTTAGTTTTTTCAAAGCTAAAATTAGATGTAAATTTAGCTTTACCTTATAGTTGTATGATTACTTAAAATATTTATAACTACTATTTACATAAAAAACATGAACGGTTTAGGGTTGATTTTTTTTAAACGCAACCTGAATAACCAAGAGACACGGTTTAAGTACACAACTAGCTCATATTTTGGTATCCCTGATTTCTTTACTTCATTGCCGAATGGCTATTATGCATTGTTGCAACATTGTCCACGAGTTGCTCTTTTGGGAGTTTATTGTGTTTAAGCAATTTCAACAAGTCTATATAATGTGATGTTAATTATGAAACACTAGTGGCTTGTAGGGACATAAGTCCCTAAAAAGCTCAAATCTCGAATGTAAAACAATATTGTAATATTCAAACAAACACAGAATAAAATTATCTATGTGTCAGAATTGATACAGTGCTACAATAATAGAAAAACTCATATTAGTACCCTGGCCCAGTTCCCCCAGTAGTTATTTTTAATCTTATAGCTATACTCCTTTTGTAAAGGTGCAACAAAATAGTGTTAAGACTGACCAAACTAAACCCTAGTTTTGTTTCTGATCGACATAAAATAGAAACTAAGTTTAAGCTTATGTGGTGGTATTCCTCCTAAAGCTGTGATTGGTTTAACACAGTCTATCAAAATAGGCCTACTTAAACGTTCAGTGGGTTCATAGTTTAGACCATAGTTCAGTATTTCTTTGCTAATCCGTCCTCATTTTTAAGTACTTAATTGTCCATTGTATATTATTTTTTATTCTTTGGATGTATTTTTGGTTTGAAAACATATTACCGTTTTTATATTTATTTAGCCTACAGTTAAAAAAGCTAATCATCTAATGATTACAAACTCTTTTGCCACTGGTTAGGGTTTCATTATCATGTGAACGAAACCAACCATGAAAAAAACTTTTCATCATCATTGATATCCTACTAATATTATAAATGAGAAAGTTTGGATGTATGTATGGATGTATGTATGGATGTATGTTTGTGACAAGTGAACGCGGAAAATACTGGTCGGATTGGGCTGAAATTTGGCATGATGATAGCTCACATTCCTGATTAACATAAAGGCATATTCTTATTTCAAAAATCCTTTCGGGCTCCGCCCCAGTGGCTCTGAAGTTTCCCATGTTAACCTTATGAGAAATGGAATTATTGAATCTTAACAGCTGTTTCAATTAAACAAGTTGGTTCTGTTCTATGATGTTCAATAGCATTAAAGTTACAAGGATTACCAACAGGGTGCAGCACTATTATTTCTTTTACATTTATGACAACAGCTAATTTGCAGCCAAAAGGTGAGTGAGCGTAGCGAACGAACTTCAACCTGGAGGCGAGTTAGTGTAGCGAACGAGCTAACCTGAAGGCAAGTGAGCGCAGCGAAAGAATTCCAACCTAAAGGTGAGTGAGCGTAGCGAACGAGCTCCAACCAGGACGTGATTGAGCCATGCGAACGAGATAATCTTGAAAATTAAGAAGTTAAACGGGGCAAAGCCCGCGGGTTACAGCTAGTAGGTACATATTTTTGGTTAGTAAAACGTAAAGAAACAGAAACTAAATCTAGGGTTTGCTGTTATGGATGCTCCCCTTACTATCTATACAATGCATGTTAGGCTATATTATTTTAACCTTTTTCCTTGGAGCTATAGGCAGTAGGTACAATCTGTACCTGGTTAAAATCTCCTGCAAACAATGTTATTTTCCCGCCCATAATGAAAGAAAAATATGAATTGCCTGTGCGAACCTATTTCATATTTTGTACCCAGGTTATTCTCTAGAGTAGCTGTTGAGGTTATTCCACTTGATACAAAATATAGATTAAACACTACAATTAATTACGTGTAAAATTAAATGTTATGAAATTTACAACAACATTTTTACAAAACTTCACATATGTTTTGAAATAAAAACCAAACAAAAGTTTTCTAACTAATCTTGCATCTTTGATTATTTAGTCAATGGCCTATTTTATCATAAACATTCCTTCAACACAACAATAACATTCAAATGTGAAGAAATGTAATAAAAGTAAAATAGTTTTGTAAACTTTGTGGACATCTATCTACATATTAATAGGCAAGCATGTTTCTTTAAAACCTTTTTTCTCAGCTTGTGTGCATCGCAGGGAAAATCTACGCATACCGTTAGAAAGATATTTTCCTGTAGAAGTGCAGAATCCCTTTAACAATTAAAATAGGCTGAAATATAAGCACTACAAATGAATTTGAAATTTTAAAAATTTAACTTTGACTTTATGGGTTGCCATGCTGGTGACGAAATAACAACGAAATATAAACAGAAAATCAAAACAAATGGAAAAAATTCCAATCATATGTTTTATTTACAGCGTGGGGTGAAAATAGAGAAGGCTGAACCTTTACATTCCATCCCCATGTTAAAGTTGTAGTATGTTTTATCTATGGTTGTAACCAGTGTTTTAATTATATTTGTCGTAGTTCATGTGAGCCACCAACAGACTGCGCTGACCTAAATCAATGACAACATTGTTTAAAAAAATGGCGACAGCTGGTCCATATAGATGGGATGTCTACTTCAGTATCCAATAGTCAATACGTGTACGTTACATGTTTTTGGTCGAGTTTTTGACCACTGGACGACCTCTAGTATATTTTAAAATAAAACCTAATTTACATAAAAATACACAAATTTGCAAATTGCACAGTAACATTGATTTCAAAATTCTAAGACGTAACGAAAAGGTCTCAATTGTAGGCAACATTATCTTTGGGTTTATATAGTACTATACAGTAAATTGCAGAATCGACTGGCAAATGAGTAATCCAAATGTAATACTGCTTATTGGCTTAATGATAAATCAAGTTCAGCTGTATTGAAGTAAACAAAAAACAGCAGTAAATGGCTTCTAATGCTATTCTTATAGAGGACATTTTACGTTATTTCTAATTTTGTGTTAAAATTTGGGGCATTTCACTATTTTTCCTGCCGTCATGCGATCGAGAACTTTAATTTAAGCCCTCTCCCGTCGTTCTAAGACTTCCCAGTCGTCCACAATTTTGACGCAAAGAATCGGCTAACGTAATTAAAATATAGATATATAGATAGATAGATAATACGGCAATATTTACTTTGGTTGGACTAAGTTGTGTATTTTTACAAGTTGTGTTCATAAAAGATATTAAAAGTTATCTCAACACACATCTTAAGGTTTCTCAATAGTAGCTGTCCTGATTACTTAAAGTGAACCTCAAAGTCACATATTGCGAATACAACTCAACATGGTGCTTTTGTAAGCTAAAAGTGTATGTATTGTAGAATAATACCGGGTGTTTATAAACTAATATCAGGGTTTTAACGTTTTATAACTTTTATACTATTGAACTTACCGCTATAAATAACACATCCAATGAACAAGGAACTCAAAAACTTTATGCCTTCCAACGACACATTATATAGCAAAATCGATGCAGTAGAATTGTAGATATAGTGGTAGAAAGTTTAAAAGAAAACTGGTCGATTTCCTCACCATTTACGAGTTATTTGCAAAAACGTTAAGCAACCTCCAAATTTATAGTGGTGAAAAAGTTGGAGATATATTTTCAACTGCGTACAATAATATCTACAATTCTACTGGATTGATTTTGCTATATAATGTGTCGTTGGAAAGCATAAACTCTTTGAGTTGCTTGTTCATTTGGTGTGTTATTTATAGCGGTAAGTTCAATAGTATAACAGTTATAAAGTGTTAAATCCCTGATATTCATTTATACACATCCGGTAAGTAAAGTTGATAAACAATATGTGTGCAGGTGCGCCATATATTATATCATTAACTATTGCAATAGTAAAAGATTATACTCTAAAACAAGCATTCCCTGATAGTCTTGGTACTGCTGCATTCTGGGCTCGTAATGCAGCTAAAAGTACAAGTGCGGGGTCACGCGGATGGCCGAGGTTTCGTTTGGGTTCGGTGCAGGGATGTCACTTATTTCAGTGTCTACCTTACTCCCAACAAGGCCATCCGTGACTTTCGAGAGCAGATAGACCGCCTGGACGAGAGCATGCGTGATACCATCGGACACGTCAGTAGTTATGGTAGGAGAGGTTTTTATGGAGAATTGAAATGAAATTGAAAATTTTCATTTATATGTGAGTGTGAATGTATTTTTGATTGGAGTGGTACATCTGATTGAAAGTTGAGGGGTGTTGTTTGTTATTGTAATAGAAAGAGAGAATGAAAGAGTGAGAGAGAATGAAAGAGAAAATGATGGAAGAAGAGGGGTATTGAAAGAGAGAGAGAGATTGAAAGAGAGAATGGGGGAGGAAGAGGGGTATTGAAAAGAGAGAGAGAGAGAGAGAGAGAATGTGGGGGTGGGAGTGTGAGAGACATTTGACATTTGACATTTCTTTATTTCACCTGCTGTGATTTAGACCTCAATGGTTCAATCTTCCATCACAACAGGCACAAAACACACATTACAATACATTGTTGTGGTTACATTCAATAACATATTTAATACAATGCCGAATTGTATATCAATTCACAAGTTGTTTAATGAAATATTGTAGCTATACTACAACAACAAAATTTTATACAATTGGACAGTGAAAGAAAAAGAAAACCAACAATGTTTCTTGTTGTGAGGATCATTCTCCACTCGACAGCACTAGCATTAAAGTCCCCACCCACGACGACGTGAGTAGTTATGGTAGGAGAGGTTTTTATGGAGAATTGAAATGAAATTGAAAATTTTCATTTAGATGTGAGTGTGATTGTATTTGTGATTGTAGGGGTATATGTAAATGAAAGTTGAGGGGTTGGTGTTGGTTATTGAAAGAGAAATATAGAATGAAAGAGAGAGAGAGAGTGAAAGAGAAAATGGGGGAGTAAGAGGTTATTGAAAGAGAAAGAGAGAGTGAGTGAGAGGGATAGGAGAGAGA